CCTGCATGCGGGGTCTCTGAGCCCCTCGCGTGTGTGGGGTTCCCGTCCACATGTCGGTATTAAATTGGGTTACCGTCTCTTGGACATCTGTCTCACCTCTTTTCGATTATTAGACCAGGCAGGACAATCTTGAGGCAAAAGGAGTTTCTTCGTCCCCCACATTAGTCAGCATTTCACTATATCAGATCATCCTGTCGTACACCTGAAACGTATACAATACTCAAATACACGGCTTTCTTTATTTGGACTCTTATGAGATCCTGGTCTGCCATACACAGCCCGGTGGTCCAAACTGCCTGAGACGCGTGTGTGTCAAAAATAAAACAGCCTACGACACCAGGAACGGCCAATGGGACTCCGTCCCCTACTGCAGCTCTCAGGGACTGCGAGTTTTCTGGGCTTGGTTAGGGAATAAAGAAGTGAGAATCCGCCCCCAGGTAAGAACACAGTGAGCGCCACTAGCGGTCCGGTCCGCGACGAAGCTTCTCATTAGGCATTAAAAGCCACCAAACATGATGCCGGAGAGGTCTGGCCACTGCGGCCGTACCACAAGTTCCAAGTTTCCCTCTAAGGGCTGAGTAGTCAATATCTTGGGCTTTGCAGGCCACGTGGCCTCTGTCACACGAGCAGGCACAGGCGCAAAGGAACGTTTCGCCGTATTCCAGTGGAGCCTAAATTTGAGTTTTGTATAGTTTGCCCCCGTCATGAAATGTTATTCTTTAGATTTTTTTTCAGCCATTATACATGCAAACAGCATGTTTTGGTCATTGGTTATTAAAAAAAACGAGCAGTGGGCCCCATGTGGCCTGTGGGCCAGCTTGCTGAGCTCTCGCGCGCAGACATGGAAGGCTGCGCCAGAGCTGGGCACGAACTCTTTGAAACTACACCCATTAAGCGACAGCCCCCCGTTCCCCCGTCTCCCGAGCCCCTGGTAACCACCAGATTTTAAAGAGCCACTGCGTGGGCCACAGGAGACCTACCTACAGGAGTTTCATGTGATCCAGTCACTATTCTCTCTCCACAAGCGGCCAGCCAGTAACCTGTCATTAGGTCCGTGGACAATTTCTAGTGATCAGATGTCGTGCAAAGCAGCTTCCGATATCATGAAATTTCATTTTACGTCCGCTAGAAGATGGGACTCTGACAGCCTTGGGACTGGCTGCGGTTGAGCCGCTTTCAGAGAACGGAACGAGATGGACAGAGCAGACCCCTACGACCGCTCGTGTCAAAGCACCGAGGTACCAGCCGAGCGAATCCCGTTCACATCCCAGAACGTGATACCTAAGCCGTGCAAGACAGGGAGCGTGGCCATCACCGGCGCTCTCAGAAACTTCAAACCCACATCTGGACAGCAACAGGGACTAGAGGTGAAAAAGCGGCCTAACAGGTTACGAGGGGCACGTGTCACAACGCTGGTTGGCAAACTACAGCCTATGTGCCAAATCCGGCCCCTGCAGCTTTTTGTTATGTTCACCAGTTTATTATAAAGGATGTAACAAAGAACACGCGCGACAGCCAGGGGGCGAGATCCACAGCAAGGCACGGGGACGAGGCGTGAAAGTCTCGGAGCCTCACCCGTTTCAGATTCTTATGGAGGCGTCGGCGCGCAGGGAGGACTGACCGCGCACTCAGTCTCCTGCTCCTCTCCCCTTCGTGCGTGATGGCGGATGTGGCCGAAAGTTCCACGCATCTCATCGTGACTGGTGTTTCTTGTGACTAGTTCCTATCCAGAAGCCACCCAGGAAGCCACTAAGAGTCCTCATTACAACGAAAGATGCTCCTAGCGCTATGATCACTGAGGAAATTACCAGGATTTTAGGAGCTCTGTTCTAGGAACTGGGGGCAGAAATACACGCACGTACACGCACGCACGCACACACACACACACTTCTATTGTGTCACAGGCTGACAACGAAGTTTCACAAGGTAGATGGCTTGAAACTATAGAAATATACGATCTCCCAGCTCTAGAGGCTCGAAGTTAGAAATCGAGGTGCCCACAGGGCCACTCTCCCTCCAAAGGCTCCAGAGGTGGACCCTCCCTGGCCTCTTTCCATCAGTCCTTGGTGCTCCTCGGCTTGTAGCTGCCTGCACCGTCGCGTGGCTCCCTGTCTGTGCCCACATTTCCCTCTGCTCATAAGGGAACCAGTCCCATTGGATGAGGACCCACCCGAGTCCAGTGTGACCTCACGCTAACTTCATTACAACTGCGAACACCTTATTTCCAAATAAAGTCACATTCACGAGTACTGGGGTTCTGGACCAGAACTTGTCTTTTCGGGGAACAATTCGACCTACTGACAACAAATGAAATCCCAACTATCTGCATCACTTCCTGTGTCCCCGGCTACCCGCCTACTTCGTAACAAGTCCCCCCTGCACACCTGTGGGCCTCTGACCTTTGCACCATCTACTGTCCTCTACCCATTCTCCAGGGCTAAAATCCAGCTGTTCCTCGTCCCCAAATACTGACTTCCTCCATCACGCTATGAGCCCACGGTGAATCCCTTCTACGAACTCCTACAGCCAGGGCTCAGAAATAGCCTCCTCCGTGTGGTACGTACAGAAATGGAAGCCTATCTGAAGGTTCTAGTCTAGTGTGGTCGAGAGAGCGTGCCTTGGCATGACACAGCATGCATTCGGACTTAGCTCCGCCACTTCCTTCCTGTGTGACCTTGAATAAATGACTTCTCAGTGCGTTGGCGTCTGTATCAGTAGAATGTGGACAATGGTGCCAACCTCGCAGGTTGTTGTAGCAGCTGGGGTGATTCCTCTGCAGCGCAGAGTAGCTATTTTTATTGTGAGAATCAGTGTAGCTCGCCTTTTATTGATTTGTTTGTCCTGTTCTTTAGATCGCACGTATCAGTGCGATCCTATGGTGTCTGTCTTTCTCTGTCTGACTCATTTCACTCAGCATAACTCCTTCTAGGTCTATCCATGGTGTCACAGATGGCAAGATTTCATTCTTTACGATGGCTGAGTAATAGTCCACTGTATACATGTACCACGCTTGTTTATTCAGTCATCTGCTGGTGGGCACCCCGAATGTTTGCTTTAATGTATCGCCTCAAGTGTTTTGTTCGGAACCCTTTGCGTCCGTAAACCGCAGTGGGGATGGCACGCTACGGCCCGTGGGCTGGCTCCGAAGTGCTGCCAGTTTTTGCAAATAAACTTTTACTGGAACACAGCCCTGCCCATCTGTTTCCATACTGTGTATGGCTGCGCTCACGATACCGACAGGGCAGATGTATTAAAAACAGGGCAAAGTCCTAATAAGGACACACGAGTGGTAACTGTTCGGACGCTTGAGGATGTGGCTACATTTAAAGTGATCCGCGGAAAGGAAAAAACGGGGGAACCGCTGTAGTTATTCACCACATATGGTTCCCGCATGTAACGTGCGTCAGCACTTGGAAAACTTTGTGACGGGTGGTCACACTTCGGGGCCTGTGAATGACCTGGTCCTTGTCAACTACTCAACTCTACGGCAGTGCGAAAGGCAGCAGTGGACAGCAGTGCATGAGCATGGCTGGCTTCTCACGGAGCTCTAGTTACGGAAACGGGGAGCTGGCCTGGGGGCCGCAGCGTGCTGACGCCCGGCCTGTGCCAATGACGTGGCCACCGTCACCGCGCTGGCAAGAACATTTACGAAAGCATTCGTTCACAGGTTTTCTTGCCGTTTTCCACCTGCTGCCACAGAGAGCAATTTCCCCAGGGCTGTCGGCTAACAGGATGTTTGGCGTAGAAGCGGAGCATAATGGAACCTGTGCGACATGAACATCGTGCGGGAGACGAAACGAACGCACGCACGCACGCTGAAGGGCTGCGTGGAGGGAAGTAAATGCTCGTCACAGCGACCTCCGCATCCCCTGCGCCGTCTCTCGCAAACCTCAATCTCCCTCTGAGAACGAACTCTTCCCAGGGGACCCTGTGACCTCGAAGAAGGTAGTGACAAGGCAGCCATGGGGAGGCAGGACGGCCCAACGACAAGGCTCGCCACGTCCCGCCGCTTCGAGTACAGCGCCGTTTAGATCTTTGGAATGTGACGCCGCTAGATGACGAGCCCAAGAGAAAGACAGAGGAACGAGCAGAGACCCGC